GGAGGAGTAAACAAACGAACATTAACATAAAAAGTATGAAGTCGTTTGAAACGACCATCGAGCAGATAAAGACAATCGGTAAAATCATCTACATTGATATGTAATTCCATTAAACTTGAAGAAAAAAATCTTGCAGGTTCTATTGATTCGAAAGATAATCGTTCATTAAAGTAAACATAAACATTGGAATATGGATGAAATTTTAAGCATAATAAATTGATACACATAGTTAAAACATAACTACACACTATATTGATTATGTTTGATGTTGATCCTATTATTTCATTTTTAGCGACTGTAATAATCAATGTTTTAATATGATTTTTGAAGATGCGATCTAAATGAGTTTCCTCTAAAGATATTTAAAAAACTTTAAAAATATCCTCGTAGTCTTTTCGTCCGAAATCTAAGCTCGATAATTTGTTATTTTCGATGTCGATCTTTATGCTACCTTTCTATTGTTAGATTTCTTCAATCTCTTAATATTTATTTCACTTTTATTTATAACTAAGCCCAAAAATGGTTTGGCATAACCAATTTGCAATGATCTACTCAATTATATTAAAAATTCTATGTTATTCATCTTCATATAAGTTCTATAGTTTGGTGATCAAATCAGTAGAAATGAAAATGCTTACCACCAAACAAACGTAAAATTGTCTCACGGTCAATATTGAAAAGAGAAAGTCCATGTAAATTAGGATAGTCAGCAGCAAGAAGAATACGTTCCATATATAATGGTTCGAGATCAAGCCACTTGATTTTATATTGAATTTTAGGCAATATTTCTGAACAAAATCGTTCAAGTATTGAATCATCTAGTGAATTGATAACACCATTCGACGAACGTCTCATTAATGTTAAATGTTCAGTAAAGATAGGATCATTTACGATATTATCAAGTCGTATATTAATGCCGATTAGAGAATAAAGTACTTCGATATTGGTTAATTTGTTCAAGATCAACAAAAGTATTTCATCGGGTATATCTATCAGTCGGATACATAAACCTTCCATGTTCATTTCCATGTGTCAATTACTTTTTAGCAATTACTTATATACACTCTTGCTCTACTTTGCCCGCTGCCGTCAGCAAGAAGAAAGAATAAATGAGTCAATGACTGACGCTTTTTCTCATTCATTTACTCGACAATTCTAATATATATATGCTTTTTTTTATTCATATTTGTTTTTTAGATATTGATTATCTATTCCTAGATACAATATGACTCATTTCTCATATCAACTGTATACATTTTTATTCAATGTCATGTATATTTACTTGTAATGTTAGAAAAAAACCAAATACCTTCTCTCTCAAATAAAACGATTTATAAAAAAAATTACAATTCAAAATAATATTTGTGAAAAACAAACGAAAGAATGGTTAGTTCTCGTGTCATCGAAAGGTTTTAATTAATTTTCTTGTTTCTAAAAAAAAGGAAGGCATGCAAACAGGTAGAACATTATTATAATTGACTATATTTTAGTTTAAAATACTAATTGTGAAGAATACAATAATTATAGAGAGACCTACTAAAAACCAAATTAAGAAACACCCTTAGATGTACATACAACATCAATTAGAGAACAAAACAATACCATAGAAACAAAAACAAGCGATTTCATCTTCTCATTGCCGAGGTTTAACGGAATGTATATGCTTGGACAAAGGTACTAATAGACATACTCATTATTGTGAGCAATCATTTCCTTATATCGTCAGACTGTTCTTTTTGCTTATTTTCGTCTGCTTCTCTCTACAATGTGCTATTCGTGCATGGTCTATTGGATAGTAAACTTGTATCCAGAGGATCTTTCTATAGTAACGAAAGAAAAACCACTTAGACGTAGGACGATCAATATTTCTTGAGAACATATTTTATTGAGATCAGTTTAGGAAGACGGAAAAGACTCTCTAGGTCATTTCTTCAGACTGAACAGAGTGTAAAAACTAATGAATAGGCACTAATCACTTTTAATAGATTGGATCAACTTCGTACAATAGTAAATGTCGTTTATCATATTTCCCCTCAACACCTATACGATAGTTTATGACAATAATGAAAAAGACAGAAAAGCAGTTGAGGAAAATCTCGACTATGACGAATAGAATCACGGTCACCGTATCTGTACTGTTCCTAAACTCTCTCCTAATGTCAGCACTCCAGAGTGTTACAAAATAAAAACACAAACACAAAAAAAAAAAGTAAACTTGTATCTCATCTTTTCCCATTATATATGTATGCTTCGTGAAAATAAAAAACTAAAATTATAGATATAATTTTACTTGGTTTCTTTAGAAGAATTATTTTGTTCACAACAATTAAATCAATTAAGATAATTGTCTTTGATTGTACTTTTCATTTCGATGTTATTTCGATGCAATGAGTTTCAAAAAAAGTCATTTTCTACAAATATATAAAAAAAATTCAATTCACTTGGAAATTCAATATGTATACAAAGAAACATTTTTTATGGCCTGAAACTTTTGAGATATATGAAGGATTATTTAGACCTATCTAGGGGGAAAATTTTAAATCGAAATTACGTTTTTTTTTTGATTTTTCGATGAATACCTAAAAGTAGATTGAAAAATCACTTAAGCGGTCATAACGCGGTTTCGAAGGGCAATGGAGACGAACCCTTTTAGACTTTTGCTAGTATCTTTGAGAACTTCTTGTAACCCCAATATGAGCTCAAACAGTGGACGTCATTTGTGGTGGTTCTCTCGTAAGTAGATCTTCAAAAAAGTTCTCTGCTTTCTACTACTATGATTTTCTTGTGCTCGAAATCATTAAAATTACTTAATGCTTCTTCGTTTTTCTAGAGTAATAAACGTTTGTCTGACAAGAAACATTTATTTAAACAAACTTTTGTTGATGAATGATGATTATTATTTTTTCAACAGATGGAATCCAGAGTCCTGCAGGTTAAGACTTTTTCGTATCCTATACCCTACTCTACGGACGTCTTAGCTTAATCCTGCCCTATCCTATGGATGTTCCACCCTGACTTCATCTTACCTAACGGTTTTTAAATTTTGTTAGTCCTCAGTATGAAGTTCTCTTTGCTTTGCGGTTTATTCTGATCGTTTCCAAAATATT